TAGGCTATATATTACATTTACTTAAAATATAGTACAGTTTTAATAACTTTTAACTTTGAGTAAAAAGGAAGTAATGAAAAAAAAAAAGTTGAAGGATGTCAAACAAGTACCATAAACAAGATACATTAAAGCAAAAAAGAACAATTAGTTGAAATAACAAACTAGTAAATATAAATAGCAAATAGAAAAACAAGTCAAATCATAATCTTAGTTGCAAAACTAAATATGTATGAATAAAGTATCGCAACAATAATTTTAAAAGCCTTATAAAAAATATAATGGTCTTAAATAGTTATATAACATATTAATAATTATAAAAATCAACTACAATGATTAGTATAATAATCATGACAATTAGATGGGTGGAAAAACTCTACGTTTAATGAAACCAAAGCTACAAAAAAAAGATTAAGGTGAATATTAATAAAAAGATAAAAGACAAAAATTCATAATGCAACATACTTGTAAAAAATTGATCTATAAAAATAAATAGTACTAGTATCAAATTTAATAAATAAGTTTTAATAAATAAGTTTTCATATTCTTTTATATTGTCCTAGTTGTAATATATATATGCATATAAAGTTAGAAGATAAATTGTAATAGCAAATATATAATTACAATGTATAAATAACTTAAACCTATTATAAGCTAAATTTATATAAATGATTTCTAACATTATTTATATTTGTGAAGTATACACACATTAAAACTTACATATAACTTATATGTAACTTATGAACAGATGCGATTAGGTTATATTTTACTCATTTCAATTTTAATACTTTAGCATCGATAAATCATCTTGTAACACATAAACATAGTATTTAGACAAGGTAATAATATACAAGTCAATTTTACAGAATATAATTTATTAAAATTAAAGGAGAACATGAATATCACGATTTAAAGTACATTTTCGAATTTCTAAAGGTTATATTATTCTACCTTTGGTGATATCTTGTGAACGTAATAAACTACGTATTAGAATGTAACGAAAAATGTATAACGGTATTAAGAGCGTCCGTGTTATAAGAGTTCCAGTTTTGCTTATAACGAAATAACTAATATCGTCTCGTCTTGTTTGCAAAACTTTTATGAATCGGTATTTGATGAAACTACAAAAATGTATAATTTTTCATGTTACAATATCGTATTTTCAATATGGCTGAAAACTAACTGTTAAATACATTAAAATAATGTTATTTTTAAATTGATAATTTATCTACCTTTATCTTAACTTTTTATCTTACAAACTGTAAGTTAAATGTATTGTTTACAATTATTGGAATAAATATGATTCCATGGTGTGAAACAAATACGAAGGAATTTCTTTTTCGTATTATTTCTGTATCAGAAAGAACATCATGTAAAATTTTATATAGTTATATTTTATGCCCCATATAATTTATACTATTCTATAACAT